CTCTATCCCCCTCTCTCTCTTCTCTCCCTTAATCTCTCTATGGCATTTTGCTGTGGTCATTCAATAAAGGTGCATTTGTTTTGATTATCACTGCAAACCCCCTGTGCTGTGTTGGTTCTTTTTGCACCCTGAGATCACCCCACGAGCCATCACAAACCCGTCTGTAAGGATGGATCATGACACCCTCCCACAGCACGGCACAGGAGGAGGGCAGGTGATGGAGGGACCACGGCCTGCCCTGTTGGGAATCACACCCACACCTCCACAGCCCCTCTCCTGTTGGGAATCACATCCCCACAGCCCCTCAGTGTCCCCCCTGCAGGAACCCCCCCTGGACCCTCACTCACAGCACGGTTGCCTCTCTGCAGGCCACTGCTGGGCAGAGCTGCCAGGGTTCTGTAGTCCAGGCGCAGGGGCTCGCTGGGGACGTTCTGCAGAGGGGGAAAAAACCAGAAACAGGTCAGGCCCAAAGGCAATTAAATCAATGAGAAAAAGCAACGAAAACAGAACCACCCCAGTAATAACCCAGGTCTTATCTCAAACTCATCAGAGCTCCCACTGCCTGGAAAAAGAGCTGGAATTGTTCAAAGTACAACCACGTGAGCTCATGGCAGGAGCCAGGCTTGAGAAACCCCACGGAGAATGTGTCCCTGTGCACCCACTGCTGCTCAGATCCCTGCACTCCTCCTGCCCCATTTCCACCTCCTGATGAGGCAGAGAACCTGCCATCCCCACCTGTTTGCTCCAACAGCACCTGGAATGATGGACCTGGACACGTGTAAGAATGCACGCCTGCAATTCCGCTACAGCTCCTTTTCCCAGCCTTACCTCACACTCACTGCACAACTTTGTTCCATTCTGCTAATCCTAAAGAGAAGCCCAGGTTTCTAACCCAGCCCATTTTCCTCAATCCCTCACACATTTCTTCAGTTCAGATCTCTGATCCCCAAAGCCACATCCTCTCAGGGGAGGGAGTGGAGAACACAAGCTCCTCGGAACAAACTCTTTTTGGGGACTTCTCCAGCCTTCCAGCCTAGTCGCAGACATCTTTTATGAAAAATCCTTTCCTTAGGATTTTTCCTCCTGAGAAGCTGAGGGGCCTCAGGAACAAAGTGTAAACATTGGTTATCTGCTGCTGTGGAATGCAACAGGTGCATCTGTGATTGGTCTTATGTGGTTGTTTGTAATTAATGGCCAATCACAGTCAGCTGGCTTGGGCACAGGGCCTGCGACACAAACCTTTGTTATCATTCTTTCTGATTCTATTCTTAGCTTAGCCAGCCTTCTGAGAAAACCTTTTCTTCTATTATTTTAGTACAGTTTCAATGTAATATATATAATAAAATAATAAATCAAGCCTTCTGAGACATGGAGTCAGATCCTTGTCTCTTCCCTCATCCTGGACCCCTGTGAGCACCATCACAGCCTAGCTGCAGCCCTTTCCTGGCCTCTCAGCCCTTCCCCTCAGGTGCTGCTCACCTCTGCTTCCTCCTCAAGCTGCTGCGTGGCCGCCTCCCGCTCCCTACGCATCCGCTCCTTCCGTGGGACGGACAGACAGACAGACAGGCAGGGCCAGGGCAGAGAGGAGAGAGAGGCACAGAGGTCACACAGCTGGGCAGGGCTGCTCAGGGGACACAGGGACAGTGCCAGCACCACAAGAGAGGCAGCAGGAACTCAACACTGGCACTGGGTAGGGAGGAGCTGGAATTGGGAGCTGTTATTGCCAGAGGAAAGGACAGGCACAGAACAAGAACATCTGAGTGAACAGGGGAGAGGGAGAGCAGGTGTCCCCAGGATCCTCTGAGGGACAATCCTGGGCAAGTGAGAGAGTTACTGTGTCCCCAGGATCCTCTGAGGGACAGTCCTGGGGAACTGAGAGAACTACTGTGTCTTCAAGCAAATCCACACCAAGGGAGAGGAGAAATTTGCTTACTGCTGGAATGTCACAGACAACTTTTATGAAAAATCTTTTTTTTAGGATTTTTTTCCTCATGAGAAGCTGAGAGGCCTCAGGAACAAAATGTAAACAATGGTTATCTGCTGCTGTGGAATGCAACAGGTG